AACTCAGGGAGGCAGTGAAGGACAGGAAGGCCTGGTGCAACATGGTTCATGGGGTCACGAAGAGTCGGACATGACTTAACGACTAAACAACAACAACAAGCCCCTATCTCCATGTTCAGATCAAAATGACTCCTTAATAGCCACTTGATTGTCAGGAATTTTAATGATTTCAATTGCTTTGTTTCTACAAGAGAATATTACCACTGTATTTATGCTCCTTCTTATTCTTTTAATAATGGAACATTATTTTTTTTACTTGGTAAATTTCTATTTGTATAGAAACTCGAGTAGACCATTTCACTTCCTACTGGCTTCAATGTGATGGTTTCTATAGATAAGTTGTCCTCAAAGGAAAAAGAGAAAATGAAGTAAGTCAATCCCCTTAAGCCTAGGGCTTACTTTTTCAGATTTCAGTCCAGATTTTGTAGCACAACTTCAGAGAGTGATGAAGGCACAGAGTTACATGCAGAAACTTACTGAAGTGCAAGCTTAAGGGAAATATTTCATGAAAGTGTAGATTAGCCCTACATTTTGAACAAAATTAATGAAAGCTAGGATGAAGGCTTGAGAGTACTAATATCAAAAAGCCCAAACAATGTCTTTTTCTGCCTTGTCTTACCCGCACAGGACTCTAAATCAACTGTCTCATCTGGACTTCTGAATCCTGGCCTAACACTTCACTAAGCTGTATACCTAAACTGTACTGTCTTTCATATTTTAATCTCTGCACTGCACTTCACCTATCTTTGCTATATTTTCAGCACTGTAAATATTTAGTTGCCTTTTATTTTGGCTCCTGATTATGCTCTTTCATTTAAACCATCTAGGACAGGGCAAGGAGGCATCAGTTTTATTATTACCCATAGTATAGTGTGGATTCATACACTAAACTGTTAGTTCAGACTATGCTGTTTGTTTTAAAATATGAATGAATTGTGGAAAGAAAACTATAGCAATGTTGTAAACGACCAAAGTAGGATAAACATTATTTTTTACAAAAAAGAAGAGTATGCTGTGATTTTGAACAGGGAGAAACCAAAGAGTTCAGAGAAAATCACATAATGAGCAGCAGGTGGAAATTCTTGCAAACATCTAAATGCTGATGAAAAACATTTATTTTGCATGCTTCAAAGGTGAACAGAATTACTTTCCCCTAAGACAGCCTGGAATAAATGCTAATTAAAAAACACCTAAGAATGCTCAGAAGTTTGGTTATTTTGGTTTGTGTGCTTATATGTAAGTGTCATTAAGTTTATGATGCAGAGGTTGTTTGCATCATTTCAAATTTGCAGAACATTTTGTAGGGGTCATGAATCTTCCTCAGCTTGAAATAAATAACTTTTTTCCTGCAAAAATTTCCACATTCAGTTGGACAAAGGTGTAAAAGGTAATTCCAGGGACGACATACAGTAAATCTCGCTTTATCAGTTTGACCTGCAAGATAAATGCAAGTTAAAAATTGCAGTGGTGAAACTGATTTAAACATTTTTTAAAATTTTACTTAGCTTTGCTTACAGTGTCCATTTTGCAAATGATTTCTTCGTTTTTCTTCAGACTTCATTTTTGCCTTGATATACCATTGGCATCTTTAAGAAAACAGACACTGTTTTACTTTTTTTAGTGTCACAACATGAATGATCTTGAACTAGCATGTTATTTATATAATAACCCTAAAAATATTGCATTTAACTGAAGAAGGATGAAGAAAACTAACAATCAAATTAAAGTAGTAGTTAGCAAGATTGCTTTTAGAATATATTGCACATCAGTGCTCTTCATTTATCCAGTACGGATAGATACTAAAATGTATGAAGAGGATTCCAATAACATATCAGTTAATTAAGCTTCACAGGTGTTACTTATTACACATATTATTCACATCTCTTCCAAGTATCTTCAAACAAGGGACAATGTTAGACTGATATTTCTCACATATTGTTAGAAGCAAATAATTGGTGTCTAGCACTTGAGATCAGACTGAATGTTTTTGGAAGCCTTTCTGTTCATTATCAAGGGCTTGAGTATCAAAATAGGTTCAGGACTTTGAAATGCTTAAAATTACAATTATAATGAAAGCATCACATTTTTCTCATGCATGTGAATATCTTATTATCTTATGATAAAAGACACCTGGTTACCAGGAGGTTATTACATGCTGATTTACTCCCACCTTTGCAGTTTAGTATTAAGGTTGCATATTCCTGCTCTTAGATCACCAAGAAAAGTAGGCTGCATTTTGGGATAGTTGAAAAGGACTAAATCTGCCCTCTAATTACAAGTCTTCAATCCCTGGGGCAAGGTTGTATCATGGCTCTGTTATACTTGAGCACACCTTTATTTTCTTCAAAGAAAGTAATATTTTGGGTAACTGGGGACACCAACGTGGCAAAGTCAAAAATCTGTTCATAATACCTGATATTTTGTGGTCAGAATATCACTGGTAGACATTCATAAGGTATAAAATGACTTATTTCAGCTTTGTTCAGTAAGGGGAAATCTTTAAAACATGTACGCCAAAAAAGAGAAGATATCTTTTCAAATTCTGAAATGTACACATTCTCTGAGCAACCAGTTGCAATTGCTAGTATGCTCCGTATCATCTACCATGCTGAAATATCGTGCACTAAAAGCAGGATCTAAACTTGTCAGTTTTAGGTCTTTGGCCCACAGGCTGTGCATAACCCACAAAGCCTTAATTATTTATAGAAATATTACATAACTGATCACATATAATAAAATATATAAGTTGCAATCCTTACTTTACAATAAATATGTATTCTCTGTCTAAGAAAGCAGCTTTATAATTAAGTTCCCGGAACAAAACTCATCTTCCACTTAACCTATTCGTAACTTCACTCTAGTCTGCTCTAGCAGAATTACACAGAGGGCAAGATCTGAAGTTCTTATCCACTTAGGAATTTATTGAAAGGTTGCATGCAGTTGTGTACCGCCTCTCAGATTCTAATTCCCAACCGATTGTCAACTTTTGTACAGGTGCTCTTCCAGGACAGACGTTGGATCAGACCAAAGATTTATGCCAGCCTAATTTCCACCATGGCCAAATGTATAAAGGGAGCCCACTGGCAGAAAGAGTCAACAATTGCTTTTTATTTATTTATATTTCAAATTTGTCACCGCCCATCACACAGCAGAGTGACTCTGGGTGATGTATGGTAAAAACAGAATAAACATTAAGTAAAATAGACAAATATTAATTAATTAATTAATTAATTAATTAAAATATGATAGAATAACAAACTTCCTATATGATACTTCCAGGGGGCAGATTTTTTTCCTATTTGGGTACCAAAGCAATTAATATTGCATAGTTTCACTGAACTCTGAAAAATCTCAGAACATGATAACCCCTTTCTGTTATTCCCAGTGCACTTAAATATTACATTTTATGAAATGTATCTGCTTTCCAACTCCAACTAATGTTTTTACATTAATATCTTTGAAACTTTCTGTTAAGGGCTTATCATTCAGTCAAGCTGAGATGCAGATAAGAATCAATGCAACATCAAACTGTTAATTCAGCATAAAGAAGCAAACACGCCTATTCGAAGCCCAATTATGCACTTTGAAATGTGCTTCAATTCGAATAATAAATTGATGGTTGGATGTGAATTGTCTTACCCTATCTCTTATCCTGGCATTTAAATTTCAGGAAAAGAATTCATTATCTTATATAACGGATTGAATACATTCAATATAGCCACATAAAAAAACCTAAAATTGTTTGCCATGTCCCTAATAAATAATGTATATGAAGAAAATGTCAATATATTTTTTCCTCTTATCACTGTAATGACAAGCCTGAAGCACCACACTAGAATGTTATTACTGTACAAAATAATTTTTCACAAATGTTACTATTATGATTGCATTTAGCTTCTCTGTCTAAAGAAATGTCTATTAATAAAAGTATTTGCATACAATTTTAAAGTTAAATTTGTCACAATTAGAGCACAATGGATATTAATAGTAATATCCATAACTTTTAATGAAGGCCCTTGCTAATCATGTTGCTTTTCCATGTCACATGATAGGATCACAGGAAAGTAGTACTTTAATTAGCTCAGTGTGAGAGAGATCTGTATTTAGAAACTTCTTGAAGAAGCCAAACATAGGAACAAGTGCTGTCCTAAGAATATGAAACTACAAAATTTAATAAAATGTAATAAAATCTTGGAAGCCCTTCTGAGAGTTCCATTCCCATCAATGAGAGAATAAAACACTTTATGCAATAATATTGTTACAGCCAACTGCTGTGCTGTGAATTCTTAGACCTGAGTAAAAGGCAGCAATATTTGATAATAATCGTTTTTAGGAAATGGCTGCTGATGGACAGTCTTAAAAATAAAAAATAAAATTGAATAAAAGTGGGTCTTTAACTTATATACCTTCTAAATATACCAACAGTAAAATTGCTAAGTCAAAAATGATGCATTTGATATTTTTTAAGCAATGAAATAACCTTAGGTTTGATAAGGTGATAAGTTTCCATATATTTCTTTTCCTTATTAAATTGATATCATTTTTCCTGAGGAAATTTTCTCTTCCATGGATGCAAAAATTCTTTAAATATTTATGATTTTTGTCTGCCTTTCAGAACCAGCTTGGAGAAACACAGAAACTATGATTTCCTAGATTTCTATTTAAGAGACAAGTGGCAAACATTTTATTCAAATTTGGCCTACTTCTTCTGGAAAGCCTTTATTTTCCCAGCATTCACACAGCTCTCTGATTTGTTGCCACCAAATGGCAATCATAGTTTATGGTGCAGTCAGGATAGGACATGGAGTCTCATTTTAAAACTTCAGAAACATGGGCAGATGCTGTGCAACTTGTTTACCTAAAATTGAGAAAATAACATCATTATGTTACTTCTGTCTATTATGATCAGAGGCTAAACTTTCCAGTGGCACCCTGAACATGGGTACTCCATTCCACAAAAAGAATTGTGGGGTCAATATTACCTTCCAGTGATGAGGAAGAAAAGAGTGAGAATGACTAGAAGAGTGAATCCACCCACAGCAGCTGTGGCGATGACCAGAATCTGCCCTTGTTCTGCTGCTATATCTGAAGCTGAAACAAAAACAAATAGAAGTCAGTGTTAGAGCAGCACCTTTAATGAGAAGCTACAGTCCTCCCCCAGACAAAACCCAGAGTTATTAAAAATGATCTTGCTGTGATAGTTTAGTAAGCCTGAAATAGAATTTCTGGTCTAAAGTGGAGGCACTTGGAGAAGAAATATTTTTATTTGTTCATTTGTCTGACTCCAGACAGCAGTACAGGAATATAGAAACACTCACATTTCTATGCATTATCTACATCATTCATAACTTCCATAACATTTCAAGTTACATTTTATCCTCAGAGCAATCTTGTGAGATAGGCTTTAAAAAAAGCTTGTGATCTAAGGCAGAATGTTAAGCAAATACTGGGTCTCGTTTCCAAATCCAGCAGTCTATTTATATGGTATCTTATAACAGCACCCATATGTGCCTGGTTGTTCTGAATTTATTTTGCACTGAGTATAAAAGCTCACAGAGGAGGTTTTAGCATGCTTTACAGACATTGGATAGGCTATACTGAGAGGGATTTGGAGTGGATGGCCAAAAATTGGAAAGGAAGCGAAATATGTTTGGTTTGTATTTTAATAGAAACCAACAGATTCCCAGCTCCTAAAGTAATATACATGCTAGAATGTGATTCTGTTTTGGTTTTCACACTGCTCTCAATTTGGGGATATGGTCCTCCAACTTAAAAAAGTCTATATTGTTGAAAGCCATGTTGAAATGTGCATAAAAGAATAGTACAAAATGAAAGCATATCTTGCACTTGGAAACAGCACAGAAATATTCACATAATGCCATTTCCTCCAGAATTGGAAGTTCTACCAATCCCGTCAGCAATACTGATATTGAGCAAAGAGCCCAACAGGAAGGGGTGGGGGGAGGGCTGAACAAGCACCTTCACTCTGAAGGAGGCATGAAGATAATTTGCCCATGATCCATGGCATCAAAAAATTCATAAGAGGGAAGATATATAATCAATGCTGCCCGTATTTTAGGATATTATAGGATGTAAGTGAAGAAAAACATCTAGCACACAGTGCTGTTCTAATTGCTTTGATGTAAGTACAAGCAGTTAGGGTTTCTCTTATTACTGTGAAAAAGCGACTCAAGAGGAGGTCTTTAAGAATGAAAATTGTAGGCTATCATGAGCTTAAACATGAAGAGTACAGCTGTATTAGAGAGAACTGCAAATTCAGATAAAAGGAAATGTAATTCAAATTCAATTTACATTGCAAACTATTACTGGATGATGAGGATTTCTTATCTTGCATATGGTAATAACAGCACACGTTATAAACTGTTCAGAATCAAGTCAAGCTGTTTAGTGACCATTGAAGTTTTGATTTAATATTAAATAATTACTGTCCCAAATGTCAATTCATTAATTATGCTGAAACAATCAATTTTACACACACATAATTTCTGCTCTTTAATGCCCCAATTACTTGGGGGAAAAATAAGCATAAGAAAATATTGGTACATGCATTATTTTGAATTGTATCATAAAGGCCTCAGGTCTTTATTAGTTTAAGCATTCATTCATAGTTTTTATTAATCCAATTTTAAAAAATGGGGGCATGTTAGAGGTAGCTTTAAATCAGCCATGATCCCAGGCTTGGGAGGTACAGTAGCTATTGTTATTCAGGAGGCTGTTATAGTGGTTATAAGCACTGAAACATAGATACCAGATATGAGACCCTCCTTGTGAAATTGGGCACCTTTTGGGAGGCCTTAACTAACCAGGAAGGATATGGATTCAATACACAAATGGCAGCACTGACATCTCTGCAGACTTTGCTCACTTTGTTGAGATGCATGGGCTTAAACTAGTCCCAGATAATAGATTGAATTAGGAATTGTCCAGCCAAACTCTGAATGAAACCAAGTGACTTTATCCATCAGATGCCTGGAATATTCCTCACAGCAACGCTTCGGATGTTCTTTCTGTCCTTCAGTTCCCATAAGAGACCAGGTTATCTTAAAAAGGACCACCATGGCATTTTGCAGATGCAATAAAATCGTAAAAATAATTGCATTTTGCCACCTTTATCAGCACTGTGTAAGCCCTAATATAAGCTTCTATGTGTGTTTAGTTGGGCTCATTCTTTGTCTTTTTCCAGCAGCACTCTCGGTATCTGTGCTAATGCTTTTTTCCTCAGAGCTCCTCAGAAAAACCAAGGATCTGCTGGATCCATGGTTTCCAGAGGGTACCTGGGGATTTTCTGAGTCTCTGGTGGGCAGTTAAGCTTCCTGAATGAGGGAGTATTGGCAACTTTGGAGGGATTGCACTTGAATACATCCTGGACTCTAGGTTCTTGCTCAACAAGCTAGTGGCAGTCATGGCTAAGAAAACCTTTCCACAAATCCATCTTATGGTGCCAATTAGTCCTTATCTCAGTCATGGTTCAATGTTCAGTTCTGCCTGTGAC